GTCTCGTTAAATCACCATTGTTGGCTAGACATCGAATAAACATCTCATGAAATCTCATGAAATCCCATAAAATCCCATGAAATCCCATGGAGAATCCTATGGATAGCCATGGATGGCCCAGCACTTCACCGTCCCGTGTCGCACCAGGCCTTGTCGATCACGCCCATGACGGGGGTGGTGGGTCCCGATAGCTCGGTGACGATTCACGTGAACTTCAAGCCTCTGGAGGTGCAACAAATGGGACGAGAATTTTCGGGCTATGGAAATGGCTTCACTAACCCATAGGATCCATGTATGGTAAATGACTAACATTGGGGGTATATTGATGGTAAATGTTACCATATATAGCATACATGGATCCTATGGGAATGGGGGTGAAGGAGTATAGATTATATAGGACATGAGATTGTGTGAGATATTGGGAATGTGTAAATGTTCGGAAAGGGGGGAAGATTGAGAACATTTGGGCCATTTTGATGGAATTGGGAAATCAATGCTAATCTCAGGAGCCTGAAATAGAGGTAATGAGCCATAGAAATTGTGGGCAATATACCCTGAAAATTAGGCCTTATATCTGTAGGTACCTCCAAAAAACCGGCAACCACCGGTACCTGAAATGTCCATTGAAATGGTGATGAGCTGCGGAACTGGTCACTCGGTCAAAATGGTCAAAATGGTCAAGAAGCAGATTGTTAGGAAATATGTAAGGGGAATTGGTACATGTTACCCCCTGGTAAACAAACAGTTTGCTATTGAACATGGCCATTTATAGTTGATATACCCATTAAAAATGGTGATGTTCCATAGTTTTTTGTACGTTTACCAGAGGGTAGGATTTTTGGTTGATAAGTGAGTGAACTACAGAAATGAGCCCGGGGTAAACATAGAAAAATAATGATAAATATGTAAACAGCCTATGGTTTTCCATTCGGAACATGATCTACAAACAATGGGTTTTCCACATCTCTTTGTTGAATTTACAGGAGGATGCCATCCCCCTTGCGGCGTCTTTCCACCTGCTGATAGTTGCCATGTCTTTCCTATAGTAGTCTTCGTACGCCCTGGCACGGTCTTTTGTTTAGTTTGGGGTGGTGGTGTTTGAGGATGGATCAAAGTTCCATGTGTGAACAGAAGGGTACCGGGGTGAACTACGTGAATAGCTAGGAGATTTGGCAATTATGATAAAAACAGGATTTTTAGCCTCTGGTAAACTATCATAGCTATGGAAAACCTATAAACATGGTTATGTTGGCTTGCTGGAGGTTATTTTTGATACTCTTCGACAGGAATATACCTCACCTGAGCTTGCCCGACTTGTGAAAGGACATCAAAATACCGTGAAATACACTTAATTTCAGTACTCACATCATCTCAAAAATACTTGTAGGAAAAAACATGGAGGTTTCCCCATGGGGGTAGCCCCAAATCATCAATTGATGATAGACATCCTGGTGCCAGGTGCTGCCACGTTGTAAAGGCGAAGTTGGTGAAGAAAAACACCCAATAGTGGGTTTTATGGTCGATATACCATGATATAATGATATATTTATGTACAGTATATATATACTTATCTTATATATATATATATACTTGATGGGGGTTGTAAAGTTATAAACAAACATTTTTGTTTGGGTGGCACCATATTTTCACATGGTCCTCCCACACCCGCTGTTCGACAGGAGCGGCCCTTCAACTTCAACGCAGCTCGGCATAGCACTCCAAAATGGTGGGCATAACGGGAAATCTTCAAGTTAACGTAATCCAGGCAGATAGGTTGTGGACTACAAAACACATGTCATTATTTAAGAGTTGCTGTCCTTTCCTTGGGAAATTTATGTCCCAAAAACATGTTTGAAGTTTGATATATGGCAGTGTGTCAAAACCTTGTACCCCTCGTGAACATCAAAATAGCTGGTAAATGGATGTTCATCCCCCTAATAATGGTATTAATAGGTATTGATCCATACCGATATGTTGCTGTTGTGTCTATGAAATCTCATGTCCCAAGAACATGTTGGATGACCTCCAGAAGCCCCCAAAAGTAGCGCTTCCGCGGGGTTTTTGGTGCTCTCAGATTGCCTGCAACATCAAGCGCAAGAAGGTGCGCCTGAAAGCTGGGATAGGAATCAACTTCTCCCTGGATGGTATGAGATTCATGGCTATAACACATAGGATCCATGTATGGTATATATGCTAACATTTGGGGTATATTGATGGTAAATGTTACCATATGTAGCAGCACCATGGATCCTATGGGTAATGGTTAGTCATGTTTTTACACAACGGTTTTCATAATTTTCACAATTCATGGCTCTTAAAAAACAGGGATTTTCATGGCTTAGACATTTTCGTGGTTGATCATGGCCCATGGGACCAGAGGATGAAACCACATTTTTTGGGGCAGCAGAAGCCATGGGGTGTTTGATGGATGGGATGGGATGATATTGGTTGATTTTCCCACAGAAAAGGCGGGTTACTTATGGTTAATTCTCACTAAACATGAATATCTAGGGATAATCCTTAGTTTTCCTTAAACTGCGTTAATCAATGTTAGTGCATTATTACCTATGAATACATGGGGATAGGCAACGTTGTTTTTTTTTCTAAATCTGGAGTGTGTATCATCGAACCAACGTCCTGCAAACACTTTTCATAATCTTTTTGGGAATGGCAAACAAAAACTCACCTGAACTATCCTCAGTCAGTTTTCCTTCCAATTGGCTTAAATTCATCATGAACATGAACATATGGGGGATCTCATGGATGGAACACATTTCCTACCAATATCTGGAGAAAATTCATGGAAATCTCCCCCAGGTCGCTCTCCGGATATCTCCGGAAATGATGGGAAATTGGATGGAATTGGATTGGGGCGTACCCTCTGGTAAACATACAAAAAAATATTGAAAATGGTCATTTATAGTGGATTTACCCATTAAAAAAATGTGATTTTCCATAGCTATGTTAAATTTCCAGAGGGTAAGTATCTTATTCATCTCCAAACTGGTGGGTGAATGATTTATCCAGCCATGGCCAATGGGGGCCATGGGCTATTCATCCAAGCTACTGCTAATTACTCCAATGAACATGACATGTTGCGTGCTGTGGATGCTCATTGCTCATCCCTCAAAGGCGTGGTCGATGATTCTCAAAATTGACATAGAAAATAGAACGGCATGCACGTTGCGGGTGGGTGTACAGTATACGGTATGTGATTGAACACCCACAACTTTGCATGATCTAAAAAAGACCAACATGGCAGTCGAGTAAACCCGTGTCTTTTTGTGATACTGAGCGTCCAGTAGTGAACTATGATGAGGATTTAAACCCCTCCAAGCTCAACAGCAACCAACATGTATAGATACTGTACCCCAAGAAACATGCAACAAAGGAATACGGCATTTATATAGTTGGAAAACAATCTGATTTGGTGTGCTGGGACCCACTCACTTAGACTTGGGTGACTTGGGGCTTGGAATCTGTTTGCGAAAGGTACAGGGTAGTCACAATATCATGACAGAAGAGATTTGAAGGTTTGTTACCCTTTGGTAAACTAACAGTTTGCTATTGAAAATGGCCATAGAAATAGAGGATTTACCCATTAAAAATGGTGATTTTCCATAGTTTGTTGTATGTTTACCAAAGGGTATCTCACTACATCAATGCCCATCTTGAAGGATTCTTGTGATGGGAGACATAGTGAGTTTTCAGCCTCGATGATCCCGCTGATCTCCCATGCCTATCTGTTCACGGACAGGGCCGGTACAAGACGTGGACACCACGTCCAAGCCATTCCAAGCCATGGTGAGGTCGGCAATGCTGAGATCCACATTTGCAGCTATCTTGCTTGGCGACCTTCGTTGAACTTTATGGATCCTGGACAATTCCCGGATACCAAGGATTGGGTCGACGAATTCGGTAGCGCGGTTACCAAGGAAAGTGGCCCAGTGGCCCACTGCCTCCCACTGCCTCGCCCGGCCCCTTGACGAAAAAAAAACGTGTTGCCCCGAGCATGTCAAGATCCTGGCTTCAACAGAATCTATACTTCACACTAATTTATTTTTAAGCATTAATTAACCATCATTAACCATCATTAACCATCATGAACCATCATGAACCATCATGAACCATCATTAACTACAATCTAGTGGCTGGTGTCCATCATTTCCTGGATCCTGGTTTGGGATGATCCTGACAGCCGTGACCGCGGCCGCGGCCGTCAGGAGCCGGTGATTTTGAACGTGAAAGGTCTTGGCTACAAGATCCATGCCTCGTTGGCGATCGAGGTGGAGCATGTGGATTGCAGATGATGATGATTGGAGATGATTGGAGATAGAGATTTCCGTACCCGGGTACCCCAAAATCAACTTAAGTTATTGGTTGTGATTGGAAAAAACAATGATTTGGGGTACCATATGTTTGGAAACCTCCGTATGAAAATTCCTAACATCATGAACAAACATATTGGAGCACATTAAGAAACTCACCCAACATTTCGGATTGGTGAATGGTATGTCAACCGCGTATTGAGTTTTTGCGATTCTGTTTTGACTTCAAGGATGACATTCTTATGGTTCAAACACAAATGTCACTTAAGGACGACTTTAGGAGTAAATGAGCAAATGGAAGTCTGGAGGCGCCAATGACTACATGGCAAGCTTTCAGAATCCACAACCCCAATCCAATGGCTGAGTCCGCACAGCTTGGTAGACTCAGAGACGAAGGCTACCTAACAATTGTAAGGGGCTTGTTGGATTCATAATTTTGGAAAGAACACATCTAGATCTTTATGGAATAATGATGATTATATATGTATATATATATAATGATATGATATGATATATATATATATATAGGGTATATATACATATCACATGAATCTTGAAACCCAATCGGACTTTGTGTTCTGGCACGGATCCGGCCGGGATCATGATAAGTCCTGGCGCCAGGAACCAGCTGGCCGACGGATCATCAATTCCGGAGTCGTGGAAACGCTGGACATGGGCATGTGCCGCGGAAACGGGGAGCCGGGCGAGCCGTTGAAAAATGGGCTGTGGATTACCCTCTGGTTATTTAACATAGCCATGGTATAGATGGCCCATAGAAATACATGGTTTACCTATTAATAGCATGGTGATTTTCCATGGCTATGTTAGTCATAACCAGATGATAATCTTATATGTCTTATTATAATGGATTTAAGATTACACTAATGCATATATAATCATTAGTGATCAAATTAGTCTCAAATATATCATCATGAGTGATCAAATTAGCCTCAAATATATCATCATGAGTGATCAAATTAGCCTCAAATATATCATCATGAGTGATCAAATTAGCCTCAAATATATCATCATGAGTGATCAAATTAGCCTCAAATATATCATCATGAGTGATCAAATTAGCCTCAAATATATCATCATGAGTGATCAAATTAGCCTCAAATATATCATCATGAGTGATCAAATTAGCCTCAAATATATCATCATGAGTGATCAAATTAGCCTCAAATATATCATCATGAGTGATCAAATTAGCCTCAAATATATCATCATGAGTGATCAAATTAGCCTCAAATATATCATCATGAGTGATCAAATTAGCCTCATATATCATCATGAGTGATCAAATTAGCCTCAAATATATCATCATGAGTGATCAAATTAGCCTCAAATATATCATCATGAGTGATCAAATTAGCCTCAAAGATATCATCATGAGTGATCAAATTAGCCTCAAAGATATCATCATGAGTGATCAAATTAGCCTCAAAGTATATCATCATGAGTGATCAAATTAGCCTCAAATATATCATCATGAGTGATCAAATTAGCCTCAAATATATCATCATGAGTGATCAAATTAGCCTCAAATATATCATCATGAGTGATCAAATTAGCCTCAAGTATATCATCATGAGTGATCAAATTAGCCTCAAGTATATCATCATGAGTGATCAAATTAGCCTCAACTATATCATCATGAGTGATCAAATTAGCCTCAAAGATATCATCATGAGTGATCAAATTAGCCTCAAAGATATCATCATGAGTGATCAAATTAGCCTCAAAGATATCATCATGAGTGATCAAATTAGCCTCAAAGATATCATCATGAGTGATCAAATTAGCCTCAAAGATATCATCATGAGTGATCAAATTAGCCTCAAATATATCATCATGAGTGATCAAATTAGCCTCAAAGATATCATCATGAGTGATCAAATTAGCCTCAAATATATCATCATGAGTGATCAAATTAGCCTCAAATATATCATCATGAGTGATCAAATTAGCCTCAAAGTATATCATCATGAGTGATCAAATTAGCCTCAAAGATATCATCATGAGTGATCAAATTAGCCTCAAAGATATCATCATGAGTGATCAAATTAGCCTCAAAGATATCATCATGAGTGATCAAATTAGCCTCAAAGATATCATCATCATGAGTGATCAAATTAGCCTCAAATATATCATCATGAGTGATCAAATTAGCCTCAAATATATCATCATGAGTGATCAAATTAGCCTCAAATATATCATCATGAGTGATCAAATTAGCCTCAAATATATCATCATGAGTGATCAAATTAGCCTCAAATATATCATCAGTGATTATTAGTAGTGCATTTTTCCCATTACGATACCAGATCCACAACTCACTTGGAAAATGCAGAAAATCACCTCCCCCGGATCATGAGATCCTTAAGGAATCTTAAGGGATCTGGGGCAGTGATGTGAATGTTGGTTAAACCATATGGAAAACCTATGGAAACCTATGGAAAATTGTCTATTTACTATGGAAAATGGTCCATTTACTATAGAAAATGGTCCATTTACTATAGAAAATGGTACATTTACTATGGAAACCTATGGAAAATGATCCATTTATAATTCATAACTATGGAAAATGGTCCATTTATAGATGATTTACCTCTCAAATGGATTGGTTTAAGGGAACATTTACTGGTTTAAGCCCCATAGAAAAATGGGAAAATACCTATGGTTTCCGGTTCAGATTTTCCCGAAAAAAAACAATCCATTGATATATCTACCATAAACCAGTTATAAGATGGTCTGTATTTGTTTTTTTAAATATAGCTTTATTGGATACAATGTGGGCCCCCCAGTTATTTTTGTTGGTTTATAAACCCCATGAAAACTGTTCACCTATAGTTATTTGCGTATCATAAACCATAGGCAAAATTGGAGTTCTAAATGCACGCACCAACTGAACGCGATTTCGTCAACGGGGGCCCCACATTGGAAAATCTCAAGATTATCCCTGAGAAGAGCTGTGGGTTCTTTTCGATGAACGAATTGTGGGAACCCAGCTATTTGGTGCCCCCAAGATAGCGTTCAGTTGGTGAACATAACTCCAATAACTCTGGTTTTTGTTGGTGATATATCATGATATATCTATAGTTAATGGGCTTATAACCAACTTACACCTGGGGGGGCACCACCTTGCACCTTTGACAGGGTCTATATAGGTTGGGGCGAGACATCGGCATGACTTGAATGACTTGGATATGAAGTGATGAATATCCTTGCGCGAGTGAAAGTGATGGTTGGGACAGTGGATACCCTTCGGTCAACTAACATGGGTATGGGTCAATACCTATTAATACCATTTTTAGTGGGATGAACATCCATTTACCAGCTATTTTGATGTTCACCAGGGGTACAAGGTTTTGACACACTGCCACATAGTTATTGAAACTCCCCATTTGTGGATGATTTGCCTATTAGTGATTTTCCACAGCTATCTTGGTTTACCAGAGGGTAGACTGTAGCCACATGCTTGGATGTGTGCTTGTTGTTTGTTTTTCGATGGCTAAAGATCAGATATTCCACTTGAAAGTGTTCAACTTTCAGTTGGTTACCCTCTGGTTATTTCATATATCCGTGGAAAATGGCTCATAGAAATAGATGGTTTACCTATTAATAGCATGGTGGATCTTTCCATGGCAAACTGTTAGTCAGAAAACCAGATGGTAAACCTCCATTATCCTATGGTTTTCCTATGGTTTTCCTATTAAAACCTCCATTTTCCTATGGTAAAGCTATGGGGGTTGCTCCAACCTATCAGGCGAATCATCGCCGCAACAAAAAACCCAGGTTTTCCCCCAGGGCCAGGTCACCAGGTCACCGCTTGGTGGCTCATCCCACGAATCGTAAGTGGGTTATAACCAGAGTTATAAATGGGATAAGTGGGGTTAATCCATGTTAATCCACTTAGAACTGGGGTTATAACCCACTTACTAAATGGGATGAGCCACCAAGCGGAAAAAAAATGCCAAGTGCCAGGTTACAAGTGCACGAACGACGCGAAGTGGTCCTCTATCTCAGGACCGCTTTAAAAGGGCCGTAGCGAGAAATGGCTGGGTGGCTGAGTGGTAGACTGGTACCTGACATGGTCAGGTGTTGAAAATCTGTTTCAAGAGGTTGACAAACTTATCCAAACTTTACATTGGTGTGGGTTTTCCTCAACAATGTTCTGTGAAAACATCTCGGGAATGTGTCGGTCTGGAGTGTTTATGGTGTCTCGATGTTGCGATTGGGTTATTGCATATATAACATGTTTATACCATTTTATATAATCTCAAATCAGTTTATATCATCTTATATCATCTATCATAATCTTAGATAATATTATATAATTTCATATACCTATATAATCTTATATACCCTATAGAGATGTACTTTTACTACTCATTTGTTTCATGCATACCTGTCCCAACGACGCCATGGATGCCACAAAAACACACAGTTGAAGTCCAAATGCCAATATATATATATATTATATATAATATGTTGATATGTGATATGATATGGTATGATATGATATGATATGATATATTGCCATTTCTTTTACAATGCTACGGTCTATCAAACAAAATAGAAGAATTGGATGCCCATGCATATTAAGGAACAATCAAGCTGGCAGCACCACGACAAGATCTACGAAACACGAATGGGTGAAGTTCATCTCAGTCGCGCCCAATTCGAGTGGCAGGTGATTTGTACTGAAGCTGTTCAGTCGCAGCTGAGAGAATGACCAATGATCCCTGATGGTCCAAAGGCCAAGCTCCAAGCAGTGCCCTTCAGGGCAGGTGAAGCTTTGACAGCAGGCGCAGCATCCCAGTTGAGCCCATGGACAGAGGAATGGCGTCTTGAACCACTTGACGGACATGTCGCCTGGCGGATAGTCAGCAGCTTGATGATGTTGGGTCAAGATTTGGTCAGAGAAAAAAAACATTTGGAGTCATTTAGCCTGCTATCTATTGTGTTTTTAACATTCCCTTTTTCTCCATGTATGGTATATTTATCTACATTTGGGTGATTTTTAGGGCAAATTCAAATGTTGGTAACTATTCCAGCACCATGGAGCATATGGGATTTAAATGATCTCTGCTTTTACACAACAGCTACCAATATTCTTCAGCAGGAAAAACCGGTCCACAATGGCTTGGTTGATGAGTCAATAAAAGGTGTCCTTGTGACGCTTCAAACGACTCCACCTGATCCCATTTTTAGATTCATGTGCACATTACCCTCTGGTAGATTAACAGTTTGACCTGAAAATAGCTAGCCTAGTTTTAATGGAAGCTAATCTTCCAAGCCCTATTTGCCACGGTCTATGTTAATTTGCCAGAGGGTAATTAGAATCTGCCACTACGAAGTGAAAGTTACTATAGAGGGTTGAGATTCAATAGTTCTAGGTTGTACCTACATGATCACCTAGGTACGACCTGCATCTGCCCTTGCCCCTCTTGGCGGTTCCGGCAGGAACGACAGCAAGCGGAACTTCAACTATCGCATGCAGATGCTGGTGGGAGCCAATCGAAAGCCCAAGGCTTCAAAGTTGGGCTGGAAATCCATGGAAAGAAAACTGAAATAAAGTATAAACAACGCATAAACCAATGCAATCTGTACATGGTGTTCAAGGTTTTCAAGCCTTGTTCCCAGTATATGTTCCATATGATCCAAGAATTTCAGGGAGTGAACAACAGTTCAGGAACCCCTACATAACTTAATCCCTCAAATCATACCCCGTTCATACTTCCTCAGAGGGTACGACTGGATCCATAGAGATGCTGGTCCACGTTCCAGTACTGAGCTCGAGATATCTACGTAGCATAAACTCTACTTTTGCTAGTTACCATCTGGTTATTTCACATAGCGAACTGGAAAATCCATTATTTTCATGGAGGTTTCTAGCTTGGAAAATCATCTGTAAATGAGCCATGGCTTCCATGGCTATGTTAAATAACCAGAGGCTATACAAAATACACACCAATCCCATAGGGATCATTGATCGAAAAAACATATTTGCATTGATGTTCCCACTATCATTTTAGATAACATTATACAACTGATTTTATATCCCCATAATCTCTACGTTTTCATAATACCCTTCGGTCATCAGACAGGAAAATGATAAATCCACCATTTGTACATGTTTGTTTCCCATCAAAATGACCTTGGATTTCCCCATATGTTCCAATTATTTTTTATATCTTGTGGGGCATGTCTATTGCCACGTTTGGTTACTGGAAGGTAAAACACCACAAAAAAACACCATCATCCCCTTCTGCGCGCAGCCCATCGGGTCCTTCGAGAAGCCGCCGTACATCGCGTTGTCGAACTCACATGGGGTGGCAGCCCACCACGAGGTGTGCGGAGCGGAAAAGATCTGGTGGTGTGCGAAAATTGATGAAAATTGTGGTATTCCACTGGTGAAATGCTCGATATATGTGAACTACCCAGACTTTTTGGACAATGAAGGCCCTGAAATTGGTGAATCAATGTTTGCCAATATTCACTCCTTGTGCGCGTTGGGCCATGAATTTTGCAGAGCCCTAAAGCATCGATGCGAGATAAATCACGATGGTAACATGACAGAAATCCATGAAGATGAGATGGGTATGGATCAAAACCTATTGTGCCATATCTTGGAATTAATTGAATATAATTGAATATCATATCCATACATTGAAGCTAAATAAATTGGCACCGTTGTGTACCGTATCTTTGAAATGCGTTGTGTTTTGACGTCATGACGCCAGAGACGTCTGGTTCCATCCCATGTCTTGATGCGACTCTCACACCAACAACATGAAGCACCATAAGATTATTATTATTATTTAAAGACATATGATAAGTATGCATGATATAATTTAGATATAAGAGACTATCAGTTTATGATTAAAGTGTACTATTGAAATTCATGGTGTTCCAGGAACGGTTTCAAGCGCGGCTTCAAAACCTGTTTTTTGGGTCACAGTGATTATTGGATCCCATACGAATCCAGATGAACCAACCAATGGAATGCTGGGAACCAACAGGGCAGCTGCTGCAGGAGACACCCATCGAATTGAAGTACGCGCCCCGCGATGCACACATGTTGGACGGAAGTATCCTTCAGGCGATGCACAGCGGTGAGGTAAATCCACAGATCTTGGGAAATCTATGGGAAAGATGTTGAGTTGTTGAGGCTTTCTTAATCAAATTCATGTTCTTGTTTAGTATGTTTAGTACATTGAGGATCTATAGGTTTCATACCTGGAGAGTCAAGTAGTCTAAAAAGTCGGGATCGTCAATGTTGAATGGTTCAGAAAACAGTTGCCCAGACCCTCCAAATACCCTAAAAAGTGGTAAAAGTATCAAAATTGCAGTGTAAAGCCATGGCAAAACACAATTGGGGTCTAGGTGGATTCAAGAGCCGGTGTTTTTTTTACAATCCCTGCCTGAAATGAAAAAAATCGATGCCTTCAAAATTTGGAGTCTGTTTTTCAGCCGCTAGTAAGCGGCTGTTCATCAGGGCTGAAGTCACTCGGGGGTCAAATGGGTCAAATTTCGGTGCGCCAAAGTCTCCAATGATTTTCCAAGGTGAGACTATTTTCAATGGATTTCAACTCTACCCTCTGGTAATTTAACCTAGCCATGGAAAATGGCCCATTTATAGATGGTTTACCTATTAAAAATGGTGATTTTCCATGGCTATGTTAAATAACCAGATGGTATAGTCTATAGTTGGATAATTCTGAATAAGAGCCAGCTAGAAACCCTCAGAGTTATTCTATGAATTTCTATATTATCATAACCCCCATCAAAATTAACCTTGAGTTATTCTATCAAATTATACCCCCCATAATAACTATATTAACTGGTTGGTGGTTTCACATATTTTTTACTTTCCATAATATATGGGATGTCATCCTTCCCAACTGACGAACTCATATTTTTCAAGATGGGCACATTGCACCACCAACCAGATGATAATTTATCCCATCATATAACCCATATATAACCACTATTATTGGTATTATAACCACTATTATTGTTAAAACGGACCAACCAGTACTTTGGTCATGGCAACTTTAACCACCTACCCAACCAGTTGAGATTTCCCATTGCAGGTTGCCATCCCTGCAGGCCCTGTAGAGGAGACAGAAAGCCTGTGAAAAATTGGGTACAACCATGAAAAACCATCGGAAGATCTGGGGAAACTATAGGAAAGCGATGGGAAAATATGGGTAAACAGTTGGAACACATTGGAAATATGGGTAGAACATTGGTAAAACCATTGGTCAAATATTGGAAGCTGATGCGGAATCCATGGAAATATGTAGCTTGTCCCCTTAATGTTCAGCCACAAGCCGCGATGCCAGCGGAAAGTGAAGGTCCTGGTGCTGACTGGGGATAGTCAAGGTATACTGCCGACAAGTTATGGAAGGTGTTTTTTTTGTTTGTGTTGGGAACATCACGACAAACTGTTGGAATTTGAAGTACCCAGTGGAGATTTGCTTCTAAGTTGTTTTTTTTTGGGGGGGGAAATTAACAAAAAAAAACAGGGATCTAAGACCAAGAAGGATGCGCAAAGCAACAAGATTTGACCAGCGTGGGGAAGTCCTGAAGAATCGTGTTTTTTTGGGAATACTTGTACATAGTGTTTTTTTTTTTTCCGGGCTTCCGGACTACGCAAATCCAAGATGAGGCAAATTGCGACGTGTGGGTCGCACTGATCAGCACCGATGGTATTCTCAATCAATGGAATCTATACGTGAAATTACCGGGTAACCACTATGAATCATCATTAACCATCATTAAAATTAACCATCATGTATTAACCATTAACCATCATTAGCATATTCATGTATTAACCATTATTAACCATCATTAACCAATCATTAACCATCACTAACCATCACTAACCATTCATTAACCATTCATTAACCATTCATGAACCATCACCAATTGCACCAATCCATGGAATCCAGGAGACTTTCTCCATAGCTTTGACTGGTGGAGCCAAGCGCTCACGTGTGGAGTTCGGGTGCCCAAAAGGTCGAAGTTTGCCCTGGAGGATCTGCGGCACCCTTCCCATATGCAATGGGATTTTAATGGGATTTTAATGGGATTTTAATGGGATTTTAATGGGATTTTAATGGGATGTAGTGGGATTTAGTGGGATTTAATGGGATTTTAATGGGATTTTAATGGGATGTTAATCAACATATTTTCATGGGTATTAATGCAATGTATATCATGTATAGCCCAGATTAGCTCAGCATGGTGCTGGAATACGCACAGCAACATTTGCCCGAATTGAAAAAATGGTGAATCCCCACGGTTACGTTCAGTTATTCCAGAGGGTACAAATGGAACAAATGTAATTTAGGAGACTGATTGATGGGTGTTTTCGAACAATCTGTCATATTTCAACGATCAAAGAATTCGGATATGATGGGAATAAACGTGGGATTTGTGGAGGGCTTATGGGGAAATGATCTGGTATGTAGGGATTCAACCAACAGAACCATGGATGTAAAACAAGGGAACACCGCCTTGAGGCGGGTGTGGGTTTTCTACAATTGTGTACTTGGTGATTGAATCAAAAATCACCTTTTTACACTGTAATTTGCAGTATTTTATGCTTGTGATCTATGATGTTTTGACGTTTGCTGCAAGATGTCAAAATGCCAAAAAAAACTTTTGCAATTCCGCAACATCTGCTTGAGACATGAATACATAGATATTTTAAATACCCTTTACACACACACATATATATATATATATAAACATGTAAACATACATGTATATAAAAACACGCGTTTTGATAAATGTATGTTGTAAATGAACCTAGCAAAGTTGGGCAACGTGTCTTCGGTAGCGTCATCTTACAGTCGAAAGGAACGTTATCATCCCCACCCCACCCCCCCACCCCCCCTCCCGGTCAAGGTAGCAAGACGTCAGCAACAAAGTTGGGCAACGTGTCTTCGGTAGCGTCATCTTACAGTCGAAAGGAACGTTATCATCCCCCCCCCCCCCCCCACCCCCCCTCGCGGTCAAGGTAGCAAGACGTCAGCAACAAAGTTGGGCAAAGTGTCTTCCGTAGCGTCATCTTACAGTCGGCAAGAGCGTTAAACACGTATACTGCCAAAGAGCACAAACGTGGAAAAAACCACGCCCGCCTCGGGGCGTTGACCCCTAAAACAACAATGGCGATATAAACATATATAAACGACCAATGGTATGATTTTTGGTTTGGGCAAAAAATGGTCAACAACTAGACCAATGGTCAACCACCAACATGTCGACTGGTTGGTGGTTTGGAACATGTTTTATTTTCCATATGATTATTGGGAATATTTGGGAATGTCATCATCCCAACTGACTTTCACTCCATCATTTTTCAGAGGGGTTGGTTGAAACCACCAACCAGTTATAGTTAGACAGTTAGACCACCAAAATGTCGAATTTGAGAATAAAGGAAACTGACTTCAAGGAATTGATGGAATGCAATGGAATGGTTGCAAAGACTCCTGAAGATTGTCAACTGTCCGGCCGGTTGACAAACATAACAACCAAGGACAATCCACAAAAATCCATCATTTCCAATGGGAACCCATGGATAGCCATATAAATACAATTATATATATAGCGTTTTGTGTGTTTACTAGATGGTATATGTTTCCACCTTCTGGGACTTGGAATCAGCGAATCAGCCCATATCATGGGCATATCATGAGGATATCATGACTATAAATGGGATATGAATAGGTATTTTAAGGGCAGTAGTCGGAATGTGATACCCTCTATTGAGCTTCCAATCAGACTTCAATGCACTTCGTGGATGGGTTTTAAATAACAAACATGATGATGAAAATTAATGGGATATTGAAGGGATATTAATGGGACATGAAAATGGGATGATTATGGAATATACCCTCTGGTAAACGTTTACATAGCTATGGAAAATCACCATGCTATTAATGGGTAGAGCAACTATTTCTATGGCCATTTTCAATAGAAAACTGTTAGTTTACCAGAGGGTACCCTCTGGTGTCATCCAGCTCTTTCAAATTGCCATGGGAGTCCTGAGACTAGCCGTGGAGCTTTGGCTCGAAAAGTCTTCGAACTAGCCATGGGTCATGTGAAAAGATGCTACCCTCTGGAAATTGAACAGTTTGCTATTGAAAATGGCACATTGAAATAGTTGATTTACCTATAAAAGATGGTGATTTTCCACAGCGAACTGTTGGTTTACCAGAGGGTATGTTTGATTACCAGAGGGCAAAACCATTGCTTTCCCCAGGAGGAAACTCACCGATTGTGCATCCAATTTCCGTATCAGAACTGGACATTGTAAGTCACTTGCCGATATACGGAATGTTATCGATAGATATCTACAATAGGATATCTATATCTGATACAATAGGATATCTATATCTGATATCTAATATTATTTTTAAAAATAATGTGGGCTTGTCTGAAGAATGGTACCCCACGATTTAATGGTCAAGCATGATTTTGCCTCCAAAAACGGCAATGTTCCTGGTATACAAACCATTTTCAGGCAAACCCATATGAGGGGTTCTCTGTATTGAAGTGCTGATAAACTGTTCGTCATTACCAGAGAGTAAATGATGATATTCCATACTACAGGGGTTAAATTGTCACCATTTGTTGTTCGTGAAATCCCATTAATGTGGGTAAAACAATGATAAACCACCCATTTGAGAATGGTTTATACCGTCTATATATTTGTGGTGATTTGGGGGATGGTTTATGACCTTGTTTTACCCACATTAAATCCCAATAAACCCTCATAGATCCAAACAAAAAATCAGCAGCGGCTCAGGTTCTCCTTCCTGAGCCACGACTTTGGTCCCTGCTTCATCGCGCGTGGC